TCTGACCTATGTAGGGAAACCTCTGTTTTCCTTTTCTTGTTCTTGAACAAATCCTGACCGATCCTGGAAGTTGATGCTTCTACACTCTGTTATCTAGGATGGAGAATTAATATTTTAATTTTATTTTAATCGTTTTCCTGAAATGTCCTCTTTTCCTCTAGGATTTGTGTAAGTGCAGATGGATTTGAATCTTGAGAGTTCTGAAAACCAATGGTAACAGCTTTTCCAAAGGCATCTGTGTGTAATATCACAGCTGGATGGTGTAACACCCCCAGCTCAGGCTGGGGAGCTCCTGGGATTCATCACTGGGTCAGTGATGGGCAAGGTCTGTATCTCCATGTGGTAGCTTGCATGGCAGAGCTTTAGCAATTGATACTAAAGACTAAATGAAAGACAGCAATTGCTCCTCAGCTTCTTTCCTCTTTCACAGCTGTCAGAAGAGTGTCAGAGATAGCAGGAAAGAATGCCCTGTCAGATTCCAGCAAAGAGATCAGAAATTCTTGAAGATGACTGAGCTTATGTTTTATATAGGCTGAAGGTGTACTGCCTTTCCATCTGTAGAAGTACCATGTTCTTTATCCATGGTGTAACAGCTGCACTGCATACCTCTTGTGGGTGTCTTTAAGTAAAGCAATTCTGAATTTATTATATTACTTTAATTCAGGAATGTTCTTTTATCACTTTTACACGTGTGATCTCTTAAGTAAGCAGCCAAAGAGCTATTTAGTTGCTTACCAATATAGTGACAAACCAGTGAATGAATAGGCTTGTAACCTGCTGACTCACTGCCCTGGTCTCTGTCAAGTAGTGACTAGCAGCTGCCACGTCAAGTAACTGGCTGCTGTTTGGTATTGGAGAAACACAGCTTCAGGACTGAACCAAATTGACAGCCCACAGGTGGGAAAAAATGTCCTGGAGGTCTCTCTCCCCAGTCCTAGCTTCTTTCCCCATTTTAGATGCCTGTCGAATCATGTAGCAAGTTGCTTACATTTGCTAAGGTAGCCCAAATACATTTTTGCTTAGTTTTCTGCTGTTTTAGCAAGTAGAAGTGTGATGAGAGTTAGAAGAGGGGAAAAAGGTAGTTGTGGGTTCAGGACGAGGAATGCTCTCTGAGGGTGGATGGGTTCTCTGGCTGTTTAAGCTTTCTAGTGAGCTTGTGGAACTAGATCTTTTCAAAGGCTTGTAGCTTGGCAGCATGGCCATGCTTGATCTTTTACCCCTGTGCCCCACTGTGGTGGAATATACATCGAGATGTCATCCTTTTGGCACAAGCATAATTTAAAAATGCTTTTATGATTTCCCAGTGGTTTTGAGTTACAATTCCTTGCTAAAAAAAGTGTGGGATTGCTGGAGCTAGTTAAAGCAATATAATAAAATAAAAATAAAAATGTGTTCTTAATTCTTGGAAATAGCTGAACTGCTTTGGCTGAAATGCAGCCTCTTTATCATGTCCTCAAAAATAGCAAACCAGCATATGTAGAGTGTCAGCAGAAACAGAGCTTTCCCAAGTTGTAAGCAAAGACAGTAGGAAGTGTTTGGTAAAGTTGATAGGCTGTTTTGTTTTCTTTTCTTGTTTTTTATCTAGGAGATTTTTTGTCTCCCTGGTAGAGTTTTGCACCCTTTGAAGTGTAACAGGCTTTAGCCAAGGGCATGGTTAAACTCATATTGTCTTAGTTTTTCTCACAAACTCTCATCAGAGATCCATACAGTAATACAATCTCCAGAAGAAAGGTAGCTGCTCCCGGATAAAGTCAGTGTCCATATCATATCATGGTTGTGTTGGGTTTTTTTTGCATCAGATCTTCTATGGAAATGGAGCGTTAATTTTATTAAAAATGTTACATAAATTGATTATTTAACATGTTGGAAGGGAGTTTGCATATCCTGCCCGTGGAGAGCAGTGATCTTTCTTTTGTTCTTTGTATTATCTCTCCCTCTTATTTATTTTTTTGAGAAATCCACAAAGCAGGAAAACCTACTAGCACTTTCTGCGAAGAACAGTGTAATCAAATTCAGTATTGACAGCTGCTTTTTAGTGGTTCCTTTTCTCTCTCTTTGCTCAATTCTTTTATAGTTGCATATGTTTGAAATGGTGCTGCTGCCTTTATGATCTGGAAGCAATTGTTTCTTGACAAACAATTACCTAATCTGATGGCAGAATTAACTGGTTTTTGTGTTGTGTAGTTATGTTCAGTGAATCTAAGGAAGAAGTCAGTGACTAGCAAAAATGCTGTAATTAGTCACAGCTATAGTATGTAAACCTTATATCCTATGGTTGATGCAAACAAGTGAAATCCTGTGTTTTTAACTATTGTTTTTGTTTCCTGAAGTCTTGACAGTACAGAATATGCAGTGACCTCTTATTGCTTGTTGCTAGCAGTTAAGTATGCAAAAAAGAAATAATGGAACTTTCTTTTTTATGTAAAGTGCCTTTTCTGTAAACAATTACGTTTGCTTATCTTCACATGCTACACTTAGGGATTGGTATTCTCGTTAATGAGTATGTCCTCCAAGATTAAAGCCATATGTACAGAGCTGTTGCAAGAACAGTTGATTTGACTAATAAAATTACTCACTTTTTAAAGTTTAAGAAAATGATTATGCCAGTGCATTATCTATAGCTTATTATTGTTTTACCTTGGGTTTAGCATTCTTCCTGTGTGTTTTGATTATGCACATCATCTTGTAGTGCTCTTGATTATTTCTCGTTTTTTTTTTTATGTTGATGATGATGTTTGAAGCCTATCTGCAACTACTAGTTTGCTGGCTGATGAAGTACTGACTACATCAGTGTTTAACACAGCTGTGTAGCAGTCATTATTGTGTGTTCTTATGAAGCTGACAAAGATGACATTTTTTAGAGACATCATGATTTTTTATTTTTCTTTATATTTTAATCAAATGTAGTTTACTTGTAGCCATGGCTTGGGACTTTTTTTTTTTTTCATGTCTTTCTTAAACTTTAAAAAATATAATAAGAATAAACACACACTGTAGTGCTTACAAAATAGATTTCACATTAGCAGAATGGAACTCCTAGTATCTCATCCACATTGCTATGGACCATATTAATTCTAAAATTTGAAATTAGCTATCTAAATAATTTTAAATCCACATCCATTTTTAATTCCACACCTACTGTAATTTATCTTTGCTGCTTTGGATTGGGCTGCTTTACAGACAGTGTTGCTACAGGCAAGCTAATGAGGCATGGGATGGATAAGCAGACAGTGAGTTGGACTGAAAATGGGCTGAACCAATGGGACCAGAGGGTAGTGGTCAGTAACATGAAGTCTAGTTGGAGGCCAGTAACTAGTTGTGTACCTCAGAGGTCAATATTGGATCCAGTCCTCTTCATCATCTTCATTAGTGACCTGGAATGTGGGGCAGGGCATACTAGCCCCATCAAGTTTGCAGATGACACAAAACTGGAAGGAGAGGCTGATACACCAGAGGGTCGTGCTGCCACCCACAGGGACCTTGGCAAGCTGAAGTAAAGGGATGTCAGGAACCTCATGGAATTCAACAAGGACAAGTGCCAAATGCTGCACCTGGGGGGGAACAATCCAAGGAACCAGTACAGACAGGGGGATGGCCAGGATGGCTTTGCATAAAAGGTCCAGAAGGTCTTGGTGGACACTAGAATTGTGAGCCAACAATATGCCCTTGTGGCAAAGAAAGCTAGTGGTGACTGGCAGGTGATCCTTCCCCTGTGCTCAGCACTGGTGAGGCCACACTTGGAATACTGTGTCCAGTTCTGGATGCCCCAGTACAAGAGAGACATTGACATACTGAAGGAAGTCCAATGAATGGCTGCAATGATGAGTAAGGGACTGGAGCATCTGAGAAAGAGCTGGGACTGCTCAACCTGGAAAAGGCTCAGGGGGATCTCATCAATATCTAAAGGGAGTGTGCAAAGAGGACAGAGCCAGTCTCTTTTCAGTGGTGCCCAGTGACAGAACAAGAGCCAGTGGGCACAAACTGAAACACAGGAGGATCCCTCAGAATGTCAGGAATCACTTTTTCACTGTGAGGGTGACTAAACACTGAAGCAGGCTGACCAGAGAGGTTGTGGGCTTTTTGTGCTTTGAGATCTTAAAAAGCTGTTAGGATATGCACCAGGCAGCTGGCTCTGGGTGGCTGTACTTAGACAGAGTGGTTGGACCAGATGACCTCTAGAGGTCCCTTCCATTCTTATCCTCTCTCTGATTCTGTAAGCCATGACAGCAGTGCTTGGGGCAAGGAGGCTGTTTGATTTCTGTAATTTTTCATCTGGAACCCTAGATTCAGCTGTACCTGTAGAAGAAATAATTCTCCTTTGCTTTCCTCCTTCTTACCCCAGAGTTTTGGGGTTTTTTGACTTCATAGCATTTCAGCTTCAAAGAGCAAGCCAAGGAGAGGTGGCATGCCTTGCATCTGTAGAGTGTCCTCAAGTCTGGTACCTGGCACATTTACCTGGGATAAAACCAATGTGAATTCACCCTGTCTTGGGTGGATGATGATGTGGAACTGTTGTCCACTGGCTAAACAGTTGTTTTATGAGGTGGGGATCCACAAGAGACGTGGATCATTCCTTCTCCTGCAACAGCCTTCCTTTCCAAACTAATTCTCTGCTAAGTTAATCTACTCAGAATGTGTCAGGGCAGGCTGGATTTCGAGAGGATGCAGATGTATTTTTTTACCAGTGCTTTACACAGTCCTTGGAAGGCAAGTTCCTTAGGTGGCTTGGCTCAGAAGGGTTTCAGGTGCACTTACCTCCCTCTTCTTTCTAGAAAATGTATACACTTTCCTTAAGAAAACTGCATCTCTCATCATGCAGGAAAAAAAAAGGAATGCAACACTTAGACAAAGCAATACTTGAACCCAAGTGAGAAATGCTGAATAGCGTTAACTGTTATACAGATGCTTACAAAGTATTACAGGAGTGTCTTTACTTGAAATATATTTTTTTCATTTTTATTTTGTGACAGCATTTCCTGTCCATAGTAACCGAAAAGGAAATGTTCAACTGTTTGATTTGGATGTTTGTCCTACTCTGCAGTTCTATAGCAGGTATGTTTCTTGATTACTAGCATCTGTCTTGCCTCAAGACACTTTTCCAAATGGTGACCTTCTCCAAATGAAATTTTGAAGAGTTCTGAAAATGAAAAAAATTGAAAATACAGGTTAGGAGGTAATTGACTAAGTATGTATAGTACAGAAAGATAAATTAATTTGTAGCACTCTTGATGTTTTCTTGTGGAATGTTTGTTGTGATCATGATAGCCTGGATATGTTTTCTTTTGTATTTAAAATATGAACAAACAAATAAATATATTTTAAAACTGCTTTGTTAACTGTTTCCCTGTTGCACAGGATGTAGAAGGGGAATCTGTACCTGGAAGTCATATGATGGTACAATTCTTGTTGGGTTGTAAAGGCTGGTAACCTTGAAGATCTTCTGTTGAAACAAGTTAATGTACATGTCACACATGAACACTTAAAATGCAGTTAATGTCTGCTGGGTTTGGATTCTTGAGTCTGATATTACATGTTCACAGTTTCACACAGTGACTACTAATGTTCTCATTCCTTATTTTAAAAGTCCCCTAAGAATGAATGAATGAATGAATGAAGTTCCATAGTTTAGGTCAGCACAAGTAACTGCTGAAATGAGCAGGTACTTCCTCACTCCCTCTGCTTTTCCTCTCCCTCTCCTGCTGGAATGCATCTCTGTGCCTGGTCATGCAGTGATGAGGAATCTGATCTGGATGGAAACCTATGGGGTTTTTTTTCCAAGCTTTTATTTTTCATCTGTGTGGGATTCCCTTTGGCTCACTGCAGAGGTGCTGCTTCTGGCATGCAAAGGGAGTAACAGCAGTGAATGAATGGTTGGGGATTAAAAAATGCTTCTTGTGACAATAGTGCCACTTTAAATCCATTAAGTTGAATATTATAGGTCAGAATAAGAAATCACAAGGACAGATTGAAATAATTACTTTGGGACAGCAATTGAAAGTTCATGTGCAATGTATTGCATGCAACTTAATGCACAACAGAAATTAATTATGTAATGGTATTTGTGTTTTACACTGGGGATTACATGGAAGACAAGTGCATGTATTTGTAGAAGCCTGAACAATGTATCCAACAGTCCAGGTAATCGCATGCAACTGATACAATTTGCAGTATTTATTACGTTTGCCTTCAGGAAATAAGTAACAGCCAAAAAATAAACAGCTTTCTGCCTTCAGGACTCTTAACGGGTGCCTCTTGCAGTGTTGGGTAACGTTTGTTGCTGAGTTCTCTCATTCACACTGCTTCTGTGCTTGCCTTTAACCTGTGCTTTGTATACAATTCCTGCCTTGTATGTGGGAATACAAATACTGTGAGTGGAAAACGTACTAATGAGATACTGAAATATATTGCAGCTTAGCTGTAAACGTTAAACTTGCGGGTGTGATGTATTTTCTGATAAAGCAGTTGGTAATGGTAACACCTACATGGCGTGTGTGCCTTACGCATGCAGGAATGTTATTTAAAAACAGATTTAAAAGACAAGAGTCTCTCTTCTTCATTTTCAGGTATTAAAAAATAATTTAAGTAATTGAAATTTCTCTGTTATTTATGGGAAGGTATAGAAACATCATTCTTACATGATACCTATGGTAATATAGTAATTAATGTGACTGAGTTTCCAAACAGCAATATCTGAATAGAATTACTAACTGAGCATTTAATTTGAACTCCATATGAAAAAAATCTAATTAAATTATCTTTAGGTATCAAAAGACTAATTTCCAATGGTATTTTAAAAGCAATTAGGTCATATGATACCTTATTATTTTGCTTTTAGAAGAAAACTCCATCAGAGATGCTAAGATTTTCCCATCATCTCCTGAAATTAAAAGAGGATCCACTCTGAAACTATTTTGTGTTCTTGGGACACGCTACACTCCTCACAGAAACGCAAGCCACATCATCTGGAAGTTGAATCATGATTTGATTGCTCAGGAAAACTATGGCACTGTGAATGAGACTGTCTCGAGTATAACCATCCATAACTTCACTTACAGCAAAGCTCATGTGAAGTGTTTCATCAAGTACTTGGACAAGGAACAACTTTTGGTTCACACTGAAGTTAAATCTGGATGTAAGTAGAAATGTGAAAAAATGAATGTTAACATTTTTAATAGCAAACTATAAGAAGTATTTTTAAAAGTACTTTTAAAACTTTTTTTTTTTTTTTTTTTTTTTTTTTTTTTTTTTTGTGGCTTTTAAAAACCCCTTTTTTAAATTTTTTTTTTTTTTTTTTTTTTTTTTTTTTAGCTTGTGGCATTGTAAGACACCTGTTTTCAAGTATACCTTTTTTGTTTTTCTGACATAAAGCATGAAATTGTGGGCATTCTGTAACAACACTGGTCCGTAACCTGTCTGACCCTGACTTTTAGCCAGCTCAAGTGAGTGGAGGTTTTCTGTTCAGTTCACTAGTCTGTCCCTTTAATTATGTCTTTTGTTTAGCCTAGCCAACTTTAGCTTTCTCCAAGATGGATTTCCTCCAGTCCTCAGCTTCAAAGACATTATAATTACAGTATTTTATAAAGAACGTTGCAGGATAAATATTAATCTGATTCAATATATTAGAAAATTTGTGTAAGTCCAGATGATTCTGAGATGTGCCTGGGGGTCCCATTCTACTAAAGAAGCCATAAATGCAGAAAAAATACATTTGTGGAATGAAAAAAAAAACCCAGAAGGTATTGCCTGTCTGCACAGTTTATTGTGCTGTAAGGTTGTCAATAAAATAAAGACCTTTTGAGGTACTGTTTTGAAGAGAGAGCTTTTTTAACCAGTTTATTTCACTGGGCACAGTTCTTTGAACTCCTGTTTATTTTGTGGAGTGAAGAAATCTGGCTTTAACAAAGAAGGCTTTGAGAGTGTTAAGTTTTTATGGATTACTTGAGACCATGGAGATTGCAGAGCATTGTTTCCTTTGCACTATCTTGCTTATGAGACAAAGAGAGTCCAGAATTAGTGATCTCTTCAAGGTTGCATAGATATGTTTTCTAGGATGTTGCATACTGCACTCTGAAGTCGTGCAGGCTCCTTGGGTTAAGGGTTTTCAGAGGTTGTGTGGTTACATATTCTGGGAAGGAACCAAGAAGAGTTTTATCTTTCAGATAATGCCTTTTGCTGAACTTCTGTGCCATTTCCTTGTTTTTCTCTTACTTTCTGGACTTGCTGTGAGCTGCGGATATGTTGCAGGGGCTTTACTTAGAGGTTCAGGACAATATATGTAGAGGTCTGATACAAGATAGTTAATGATTTATGTCTTCAGGCCCACTTAGTCAAGTATTTCTGAGAAGTAGTTAGAGAAAATTCCCTTTCTTCCCAAGGGGGAAGGAGTGGTTTTGATTTTGGCTTTGTGAGAAGTTTTGAGGGTAATAAGAAAAATAAAGTACTATGAAAGACACTTAGTGAAGTTTGCTATAATCTGCTTTTTAACTAATAAAATCAGTTATACATTGAAGTTACTTATTTTTACTGTTGTTTTTTTGTTTGTTTGTTGTTTTTTTTTAACCTTTGTCATTATAGTTCCACCAGACATACCAAGAAATATTTCCTGCATTTATCGTGTCGATGTTGAACTTACTTGCACCTGGACTTCTGGAAGAGAAACAAATCTTTTTACAAACTATACTCTTTACCGAAAAACGTAAGTATACCATGTATTTGGAACTGGATTGGTAGGGTTAGACCACCAGCTCCCTTTCTCTCATCTCCTGTCTTCTGTTTAAAGAAAACTTAGAAACGGCATGGAGTTCAGAGTCGTGATATTTACTTAGTAAATTCAGTTAATTTGGAGTTGGTGGTGGTTGAAAAAGGTTACAATTTTGTGTCTTTTTTAGTGTTCTCTATAAAAGAAATACGCATTCTCAACCTAGTATTTAGCAGACAAATGTTTACATGGGAATTAATACTTGCTTCCTTGAAGTAATGTCACCGATTAGATAAAAAGTTGAGTAAGCCTGAGTACGAATGGAGCATGGAGGCACTTTGTGGGAGTGTTACCCAGAAGCTTTCTGTGATGCTAACTGTGGTCATTTTGGATGAGTAGAAAAGATAACTCCCTACTCTACTTTAAACAATTCCAGTTAAAGCTATGAAAGCCCCTGTTACTCTCCTTGACACCAGTAGGTTTTAACCTCGGGGCCTTTGGAGTCATACAGTTTCAGCAGAAGAAGCCAAAGGTAGCTGTTCTTTTTGGATTGTTCACATCTGGGGATTTGTATTTGCAAATATGAAGTATGTAGTTTCATGCTTTTCAGTGGTTTTTTTTTTTGACCCTGTTATAGAAGCATAAATACTTGATCCTGTCAATTTCAATTACATTTAAATATTGTTTAGGAGCTTTTTTGTAAGTTAACTGTGAAAATGGTGAAATTGGTGTTGAAACAATTTTGAAGGTGTTAGCAGAGACTCCAAAGGAGACATTACCTTGTAGTAGGTTAAGCTAGCATATGGCATCTTTTTTATTTAAATGGTAGCACAATAAAACATCTTCAATTTTACCTCAGTTTTAGGCTTGCTATTTTAGGCTTCCACCTTCATTAAGGAGAACTTTATTATTCTTTTGGCATTTTTACATTTTGTAACTAAGACGAGTTTGTGGAACTAAAACAGCCATTGAAAGTAAGTTTCAGTATTGTTCCTTCCTGTACCAGCCCAAATTCTTTAAGCACTGGGTGGAAATAGAGAGCTGTGCATGTTAGGGGAGATAGGACTGTGTCCTTTTGCAGCAGTGCAGGCTTAAACTAGCTTGAAAATGTTCATGAAATACCAGCCTCAGACTGTTTTTTGAATTACATGAATGATCTGCTCATCTAGTTCATAATATGAAGTACTGAATGCAGGCCCCATATATGAGTTTTTATTTGTTGAAGGGTTTCTCTGTGGGTTGATAAAATGAAACAAATTTTGTTAGTTTTGCATCCCACGCTATTTATTATGGAAATACATGCTATAAAAACAGCATATTATTTGTGTGTTCTTTCAGGAAAATCTGTTATATTACCCTGTAATAGCTTGGCCGTAGTACAATTTGACTTATCTTTTTTCAGTATTTAAATGCTGAAAGATGAGCAAAAACTTGCTATCATGTAGTTCCATGTGGAATGTATTGCCAGCTTTATCTATCAACGTATTTTTGACAGAGGTTTTGTGTGGAGTTACATTATCTCCCTTCTTTTGGAAATTTTAATCTAAACTAATAATAGCATGTGGATCTCTCATTAAGGCACTTTTACTCTTCATAAGTGCTTCTGGAAAGTTGACTTAATAATTGCAATTAAAGGGTATTTTATATGCGTTTACAGGAGAAGTGCGATAAGGAAAGAATATTTGTTTTCACAAACATCATCTGAACAGAGAGATTTGGTTGGAACTCAGGAAAAATGAGAATTTATGGCCTTTGGAAGAATGGACAGGCAGCTCAGAGAGACTACTAAGATGTCATGTAGACAGGGAGAAAATTAGAAGGATCAAAGTCCAGCTTGAACTTAATTTTTCTCCTGCTGTAAAAGACAATTAAAAAGGGATCTATAAACACAGTAGCAACAAAAGGAGGATAAGTTTAATCTTTGTCTTCTAGTGGATGCAGGCAGGTCCTGCTTGACCAACCTGTCCTTCTGTGACAAAGTTACCTGCTTAGTGGATGAGGGAAAGGCTGTGGATGTTGTCTACCTAGACTTTAGTGAAGCCTTTGGCACTGTTTCCCACAGCATTCTCCTGGAGCAACTGGCTGCTCATGTTTTGAATGGGTATATGCTTCTCTGCTTAAAAAGTTGCTGGATGACTGGGCCTGAGGAGTCATGCTGAATGGAGTTGAATCCAGTTGGTGACTGGTCACAAGTGGTGTTTCCCAGCGCTCAGCGTTGGAGTCAGTTCTCCTTAGTATGTTTATCAGTGACCTGGCTGAGGAGACCAAGTGCACCCTCATTAAGTTTGCAGATCACACTAAGTTGGGAGGGAGTGTTGATCTGCCCAAGGGTAGGAAGACATCTGGACATGCTGGATCAACTGTCTGAGGCCAATTGATGGCATTCAGCAAGGCCATGCGCTGGGTCTTGCACTTGCGTCTTGACAACCCCACGCAACAGTGTAGGCATGGGCAAGACTAGTTGGAAAGCAGCCTGGTGGGAAAGGACCCATGGGTGCTGGTTGGCAGCTGGGTGACCATGAGCCAGCAGTGCACCCAGGTGGCCAAGAAGGCCAACAGCATCCTGGCTGGTATCAGGAATAGTGTGGCCAGCAGGACTAGGGAAGTGATTGTCAGCTTGTACTAAGCACTGGTTCACCTCAAGCACTGTGTTCAGTTTTGGCCCTGTCATTACAAGAAGGACATTAAGGTTCTGGAGTGTGTCCAGAGAAGGGCAACGAAGCTGGTGAAGGGTCTAGAGAACAAGTTTTGTGAGGAGCATCTGCAGGAACTGGGGCTGTTCAGCCTGGAGAAAAGAGGCTGAGGGGAGACCTTATCACTCTCTCTAACAAACTGAAAGGAGGTTGTAGTGAGGTGGGTGTTGATCTCTTCTCCCAGGTAAATGTGATAGGATGAGAGGAAGTGGTCTTCAGTTGTGCCAGGGGAGGTTTAGAGTGGGTATTACAGAATCACAGAATGTTAGGGGTCGGAAGGGACCTCTGAAGATCATTGAGTCCAGCTGCCCTGCCAAAGCAGGACCAAAAACTAGGGCAGATCACTCAGAAAGGCATCTGAACGGGTCTTGAAAGTCTCCAGAGACTCCAGGAAAAATTTATTCACTGAAGGGCTTGTCAGATTTGGATTAGGCTGCATAGTGAAGTGAGCAAGTCATCATCCCTGGAGGTATTTAAAAGACTTGTAGTGTGATGTTTAGGGAGCATGGTTTAGTGCTGTATATAGCAGTGCTAGGTTAACAGTTAGACTTTATGATCTTAATGGTCTTTTCCAACCTTAATGATTCAATGATTCTATGATCAAAGGAGATACTAATTGATAAAAATGCCCAGCCATCGCAAAAGCCTATAAATGCCAATTTAAATAGTTTGTAAATCAGTTTGAATTATTCTAAGAAAATAATATTATTTCTAATTCTCTTTATTTTTCTCTTGTTTTTTAGGATGACAGAAGGAATGGTGACTCTTCCAAATACAGCAGGCACCTGCGAAAGCAAAACAGAGTCATGTTCATTTCATTTTCCAGATACTCCATATAGTAGTAGTTCTTGTTTCCAGGTGAAAGCTGAAAATGTTGTGGGTGAAGCCTCATCAGATTGTGTTCCTATACCTCTGGAGAAAATAGGTAATTAAGATAAAGCAATATATGTTGAGCTGACTGCACCCTCCTCAATTTTTTCCTCCTGATAGCATATATGTTAGAGAATTCTGGAACAAACTATAAACCAAGTTGGTTGACATAGAATAAAATAACGAGAAAAAAACATCTGTTCTGTAATTCCCAGGAGCAGTAACAATATTTTGTTTACCTCCTCTCCCTCTTTACTGCATTTTCCTCCGTTCATTCTGGTGTATTTAGTCAACAGCCCTTTTTAATGGAGTATTTCTGCTGCAGCACTGTCAGCTCTCCAGCCACACATTCCTTTGCTCCTTGTGTTCAGACCTGCTGTGGCAGCTTGTAATTTTCCACTTTCCTCTGTACCAGCCATCTCTTTTCATTGCTAATCCATTATTTTCCCATTTGCTGCTTCCCACTTCTCCTCCAGTCCTTTTCAAATGAATTCTTCCCTCATCTGCAGTTTGAGCTTGACTTTGGCATCCCAGCTGCAATTCATTTTGTTTCCCAGCTGTTGTCTCTGAGTGGTATTCTTCAGTGCTGATATGGATGCAGGTTATCTGCACATCTGTGAGTAGGTTTGTCAGCATCAAATCAGTTGTGTGTGCAATCTTTCTGAAAGATAACTTCCCATATAAAGAATAAAAAAACCATCATGTGAATACTCTGATAGGATGTGCGTTATTGGGATAATAATTGAAATTCCTGGAACACACATAGATGGAGCAATTCTAAATTTTTGTAGAAGCACTTTCCCCCATTAATGTTTTTATTTTTCCATTCTAGAGAAATTTGATCCTCCTGAAGTACTTTCAGTTGAAAAAGTCTTTGGTGTGAAGCAGTTGCTTACAGTAACCTGGAAAATGCCTGAGAAGATTATCCCTTCACAAGATTTTATTTGCCAGGTTCAATACAGAAACTTGTACTCAAACTCATCGGTAAGCTACACAAATGTTCTTCTGAGTGTTAGCTTCTTTGTGACTAATTTCTTAATGTTATGAAAGGCTAAATAGAAAAAAAAAACAAGAAAGAGGTAGAAATAATGATTAAAGCCTTGTTATTTTAGGGGTACGTAATTAGGTATGTGTTATCTTAAGGTGATTGCTTTGTTTTCTAGGATGAATTGTACTTTTCCTTGTGGTCAGTGTTGGTTTTGTACATACTGTACTTCTGAATGTATTTCTATGAGAGGCGAAGGGATGACTTTAGCTTGAGGGATTACATGGACAGGCAGTCAAAATATTTTACTTTCCTGTTGTAGTTTAGTGGAGAGAATCGCATTTACTCCCAGCCACAACAGTCAAATCAAATTAATATGGGACTAATGATACATTAATTTCAAGTGAACGGAAGTGTAAATTTTCCAAGGTGAAAAATAAGTTGGGGGTTTTTTTGGGTTTATCTTCCAGACACTTCAATGGAACTGCTGTAGAAAAAACAGTATTTAGTAGTTTTCTTCTTTCAGATGGCCTATTCCAGTGCTCCTCAGTATGGAAGTGATTCTGTTTGCAGTCTTACTGTTTCCTCGTCCAAAGTTAAGAAGGGACCAGGTTGCTTGGCTTTTTTAAAAATTAAATTAATTACACAGAGATTTATGCCATGACCCTACTACTTTATACATTAAATGTGTAATTCTGGGAGAGAAAAAAATACCAGGATAATTAGTAGTAGTCCTCAGAGCTTTCAAAAACGTTCCTGGTATGGAAGGTGATTCTAATTAGCATCCTCCTCACCTTCTCATGGCATGAGCCTTTACTATGGATTTGACGTGTAATTGTTTGATTCAGTATATAGTATTTGGGATTATCTGATAGGCAAGCTGGCTTACGTCCACCTAGGATATTAGAAACTGAACTCATGTTTATTTAAAAGACCTGTTAAAGGTGTTTTTCCCTTTTGAGTCAAGACACTGATTTTCTTGTGATGCTTGTGTGCATGTGAGATCCATCCCAAATGTTGAAAATATTCACATTTTGGTGAAGTTACAGCATTATTGTATGTATTTGTCAGCACTGGTGTAATAAATCACGTGTCTACCTTTTCACTATCAAATACAATCTATATCAATTTTCTTCCTCAAAACTTACCTGCATTTTTCCACAGACTCTCTAGAAAAAAACCCCAAACAACAATTTAGGTTTCACAATTGTCACTGTTTGATTCAGGTTCAACAACAAAAACAAATAATGTGTTTTTCTACTTGCTTATATTATTCGGTGTTGTTGTAGTTTGATTCACCTTTCATTGGAAAGTAAATCTCTATGACAATACTACTTCAGTTTTGCTCCCAAGAGGGAATCTTTCTTGTTCTAAAACTTACCTTTCTGACCTTTTTAGAATTTAGCTAACTTGAACATTTATTTTAGCAACTTTCAGTCATCGGAAATTTGAGAGTTGTTAATTAGTAATTTTTTTTTTCAATTTGGAAGAGAAAACACTAATGTTGGTGTGATTATAACAATTTTCTGTATGCAAATACTTAAATCTTTCTGTAATCCTGTTGTTTTCTTCTGCTTCCCTTTGTCCATCCAGTTGAGTTGATGCATCAACTCCAGTTCCTGGTTTTCAGTTCTTCTTTCACCTTTTGGTTTGGAACAAGAATCTAGCTTCTGGCTTCCATTAGTGAAGCTCCTTTAAGGTGAAGAAATTTCTCACCTTGTAGTCTCTTTTCAATTATTTCTTACACTCTTGTCTTCCTTCACCACTTAAAAGCTCCATTTTATTGTTTTCTCTTGGAATCAGAATTTTCTTGTTTTCACTGGTCTTTTCATTTTAATCATCTGCTGAAAGTCTTTGGGATGTCCTACCACCACACTGTTACACAGCTAAGAGCTAGAAGACCCTGTAGCTCAGAAGAGAAACAAGGAAATAGGTGCTCAGCTGACTTGCAAGCTGCAGGTGATTGCTGCTTCCCCAGGGATGCTGCTGCTGTGAGGTGGAGCTGTATCCAGGACATTATGGTGATGCTGGCTTTAGCAATACCCAGTTGCCTCCCAGCAGTGAAAACTTCAGTCATCCAGCACTTCTGGACCAGCACAGGCAGCTGTGGAGTTTCGTGTGGGCTGCACACAGTTCAGGCCACAGGTCGGTCAGTACAGACATAGTTCAGGCTCAAGCTTTTTAAACCCTGGAAGAATGAAGATGCTACGTAGGAAAATGGAATTTGAAACAATGTTGAGGAGTGAGCTGGGGAAGATGAAAACTGCATCCTTTGTGGTTTTTTTTTTAAAGCTAAATCATGTATCTGCAGGCAATTTTAGGGCAAAAAATTTTTGTTCGTGTATCTACTTTCAGGAACGTGTCCAGGTTCCACTGAATTCTGCAGAGAAGACAGGAACATGTAATCTCACAGGTCTGTGGGACTCCACAGAATATTCAGTTGCCGTTCGGTGTCGCAGTGTCGTGTCAATGTTCTGGAGTGACTGGAGCAGGGAGAAAACTGCAAGCACGGAGGAGAGAGGTAAGCTGTTCTGTAAGATTTTCCCTAGGCCATTAGAGTGCAATATAGAAAACTGTATTTGCAGCATATAATGAGTCTGTTGAATTTAAAATTCTGTTGTTTTAATAGAACACGTGTATTTTGTTTGAATATAGAAGAGAGAAAACTGAAAAAGAAGAGCAAGGGAGAAAGGAAATTGGAAAGGTGATACAAACAACGTAGGGGTAAGGAAGACAATGGGTGAATAGACAGAGAAGAAAATTAGGAGTGTAGATGGAAACTGAACACTGCGAAGTAGGATAGTGGCAGAAGTGGAGTGTAGGAAGTATGTCCAATAAAATTACTTAGTAGAGAAATTATCTTACCATTCATAAAACAAGACTAGAAAATCTCCTTTAGGACTTAACAAATAAAAGAAAACAGAAGGAGGCTTAAAGAAGCTGTACCAATTAGGGAAAAAGGCACGACATTACACAAGGGAAAACTTCTTAATAAATTGTTCTAAGACTTTATTTTTGAAACCGTGTGATTGTTTTTAGCATGTTACGCTCTCTTTTTAATATTACAGCAAATTTAAATGTATTTTTATGTCTTCAAATAGCTCCTTCAGAAAAAGTGGATTTGTGGAGGGTAATTGAGCCTTCACACTCAGCTGGAGGTAGATGTGTACATCTTATGTGGAAGGTATATACTCTTTTTGTAAATCAATAATCACATTGGTATCCTGCAGGTGGTGTTGCACTGAAGTATTTTGGTGTTGTAGGACATAAAACTGCAAGGGGTTTTTGCTGTCATCAGAAAAAACCCCACTGAATAAAGCAGAATTGAATGGAAAAGGCTTTTGGGTCTATCTATTGATGAACAGAGCTGTGTAATCTGTGTGGAAAGGAAGAGCTTAATTGTGTTCAGGTGACTGGAAAGTCTGACTGAAAGTCCTTACAACTGCTTTTAAATAAATTGGCTTACCAAAGTTGTGTCTAAATTCACTTTAATCTTCTAATAGAGTGACCAGTGGCTCCTTGCATTTCAAATCTCAGTATTTGACTTTTGACCCTTTCCTTCAGTGAAATTGTTGCAGCAGACTGTCATGATGGTGAGACTGAAGAAAGTACCTTGGTTTTCTAAATATAGTATAAAGATTTTGTAATTTGATCTGGACTCTTTAATACAGTCCATACTTTCGATTATACAAATAACACTTTGAAAAACTACTGCATACGTTTTTTTAATAGCCATTAAACAGCTTTCCACCTTCTGGGAGGATTCTAGGCTACGAAATAGACTACTATCCAGAAAGCAATCGTGCACTTAAAATAGCAAACATCTCTACCACTGAGAAGATGATCTTACATTTAAATGAAGAGGCATATATAATATCTGTTACTGCCTATAACTCTGCTGGAAATTCTCCTAAAGCTATTTTGAAGATTCCATCCACCAGTGAAAAAAGTAAGATTTAATAATATCGTGATGTATTTTTTTCATTAACAAAAAAAATTATCTTCCTGACATCTGTTCAAGTTCTGTCACAGTGAAGGCATGACGAAAGTCCTTAGCACAGTTTTCCATTTATATACAGAATTGTATTATGTACAAAGCTGTCTAGTCCATTACTTCTTACTAGAAAAAAAATCAACTGCTTGTTGTATCTTGCTATCACTTACCATGTTTTTGTTACAGACTACTGTTGTTGTTTTTTGTTTTGAGATGTAGGTGTTAAAATATCAGCACTTTCTGAAGTCTTGTTAGTATTTCTATTTTACTACTTCCTGGGAGTTTTCAGTTTTGTTTTTCTAAGCTTGGACCTCCCAAATGAATTTTTAGAGTGCCACCCAATTCTGTTTCATCCCTTTACCAGGTTATAAAATTGGTAACCACAGGGCATTATTGCAGTGCATTTAACAACATTATTCAAATATGTGTTGAATGGAATTATGTGAGATGCATCAGTGGAGCCAGAGAGGGAAACATTGTGTTTATTTGCCTTTCATATGCATTCCTAAAGCCCCCTGTCCCACACATTGCTGGTGTCTAAGGGCTGGTCTGCTCTGTTACAGTATTTGTGCCCTTTGGCTCTTAGGTTTAAATCTGATAGCTTTGTGAGCCATGTGTTGCAACATCCTGCTGCCTACACATTGTCTGGGAGAGGGATTGCATTTGACACACTTGAATCACTTGTCCTGTGTCAGTTGTTCATTAAATGAGTGCTAGAGCTCCCCTGGAAATGCTCAGTCAAATTCCAGTTTAGTGATGAAACTGGATATGTAGACATGATGTCATCTTGTCTCGGAGGTTGCTGAGTGCCTCTCTTATCTGCTTCTGTATCACACAAGAAGTGTTCTTCTGATTCTTCCGTGGTATGGCTTTATTTCCCTTACACACAGCATTTTTACCTCTGCTTCCCCAGCCCTTTTTCCTTCTACTTTGCCAGGCTTGATTTTCACTCAGCCTTTCATTACCTGTGATCTGCAAGTTATTGGTTCACCTTTGCTTCACTGCCATTCATGACCTTGCTAACTTGATTTACTGTTTTCCTATTGCCTTTGTCATTGCCATCAAAACTGGTAGTAAATTGGTTTACAAAATTTTACAAACTAAAATTAAAATCCTAAAGGAGAGACTGGTCTTGGCTTCTGTATGTATAAATCTCCTGAGTATCATTTCTTCATCCCTCCTCACCCCTTTTCATTTTAACAATTCTTACTTACTTAATTTTTAAAGTATTTTGGGTACATGCATGTGAACATGGGTATAATGTCACTTTTCAGTTCGGGGTGTTTTTGTTTTAACCTTGACTAAGTCCCGTGCTCTTCTAAAGAAGCAATCTCAACTTGCTATAATTTAATTATTTTCTTGGTGTTGTTTTTGTGACAATTGGATTGCTGATTTGTTCTGTTACACTTTTAGCTTCTCAGATTATTGAAACAGTGAAGACCTTTACGACAACTGAAGAAGTGGTTGTGGAATGGATAGCCTCCAAAGCCTCCAAACCAGAAGTAACCGAATACGTAGTTGAGTGGTATGAGGAATTTGAGACTGATCCTTTTGGTAGATCATGGCATTACGTATCAAACTCTACACACTGGAAAGCTAACAAAAGTACGTTCATTTATCAGTCACAACTGTAACAATGTACATATCTATGTGTATTTGTTTGTATTTATTTATAGCAAAGGAGAATGAACAAACAAGTATCAACTCCTCCAGCTTTCCTCAGGCCATTAAAAAAAATAACAGGATTGTTACATGCTTTGTTGAAATCTTAGTATATAATTTAATAGCAATTTTAACTCTCATATTTTCACACAACATGCAGGATAGCGTTTGTTCCCATATAAGACTGGGCTACAGATTTCATGTTTAAGCACTTCTCTGTCTTGATTATTTGGGTCTCTGCTCACATTTTTGTTTTAGAGGCTGACTTTTTTAACAGATGATCTCTCTAAGACATAATGTTTTGGCTTTGTGTATGTAGTTTAATTGAAAAAACAAACAATATGCAGAGTTGAACAGATACATGCAAAAGCAAAACTGTAAATGTTGATGTGCATATCCTATGCACATTACTTTTAGTTAATGAAATGCATCTGTTTTTATTTATAAATTTGGAATTTTTTCCCCAGAAAAACAGGAATAATGGTGAAAATGTTTAATATAAAATATGTAATATGTGCGATGAGTGAATTTTGGATTATTAGTTCTTTGGTTTTCCATTAGTGAAGTGAAATTTATCAAAATTGGAAGCAGTTATTATTCTTGCAAGCGGTTCTTGTTCATGTAAGGATTTTTCTGAAGCCAACATCGAGGAAAAAGGTTTTTCCGTGTTTTCAGAAAACAAGTACCCTCCATTTCCTAAAGTGAAAAGGATGCTTAGTTCATTAATGATGAATATAGCTAAGTTTGCCTGTGAAATCTCTCTTACTAGCTCAAAAAATAGTGATTTAAATACTGATTCTGTGCTACAGTAAAACAAATAAAACAAAAATCTACTTGAAGTAAAATTCAAGAGCAGTTTCTTACACATTGAGCTGAGTGAGTCTTCAGTCTTATGCTGAAAATTGCACTATTTCAGCAATTTACTGTGAAGAAGAAATGCTATTTATAGCTGTTCCCAAATATATATATAAAAACAACTTTCCTCCTCAGCATTAGTAGATCTTTTTTTGCCCTAAGTACAAATGACATTAGGAATGTCAAGGCAGATTCAGGCTTCCTGCTATTCTGGCCTGATTCTGGCATTTGTCTGTGGAATTATTTTAGGGACAAAACGGATGCCATCATGACTTTTCCTGGGTTGTAATAGGTGAAAGGGGCTGAAAAAGCAGGCAAGAGCTGGTAGGATGCAGGGATCTGTTGATGGCCATTATTCTTCCTGAACAAGCTGCAGAGCTGGAGGAGGAAACCTTTTTCACTTGTTTCATTTTGTGGGTTGTAACATCACAGATGTGTCATTTCAGCATTGATGAGAGATGCTTGTAAGTAGGGGGTGCACCCTGTTCATTACTTGGCTACTGGATTTTTCAGTGTTCAAAATGTCATTTCCAGAGGCTTGAACTATGTCTTGAAACATACAAAATTCTACTGCAGAGATTTCACTTGTGCAATTGTACTTTCCAGCCAAGCTGTTTAGAAGCAGATCTGCAGTTGGCATAACTGAAACATCAACATGGTTAAGAGCTGGGGCTCAGCTGGGCCTTTTAAGCTGTTTAATGCAGGAGACAAAACTCTCTTCTGCAGAGCAGGAAACCCAAAGATACGTGAAATAAAATGTATTTCTGGAAGTATCATTTTATACTGGTTATTTGAAAATAAAAACTTCTTCCAAAACCTTAAGCTGTTAGTTTAAGTGACAGATGAGGAGAAGAGAAGCTGCAGAGAAGCTTTATAAGGCTGAAGTATATTTACCCAATCCAAGTACTTCTAGTGCAAATGGGAGTCAGAAACCAATAGCTTTTATGAATACTACAGAATCAAATGCATTGCAATAATGAGCCTTCAAGGCAGTAAATATATGCTGTACAAATATATGTTGCTAAAAAGTTGAAGAAAACAGAGGTCTGTAACAGCATGTTTAGAACTGCACTGTAGTTTATTCTACTTCTATTGTATTAATCTTGCATAGAGAATTGTGTGTAAATATTCCTTTTTTCCCTGTACAGAAAAATTTAAACCATTTATATGCTATAACATCTCGGTGTATCCTCTCTGTGGGAATAAAGCAGCAGCTCCATATTCCATACAAACTTACGTTCAAGAAAAAAGTACGTATTTTAAACTAATGATGTTGTGAAAGGTGTGTTGTAATCTGTCTGTCAGGGTGTATTATCTTCGAGCAAGGTTGTGTTTGCATTCCTGAAGGAGAGATGTAGATGTTGAAAAAGAACAGGATTTGGGCTTCCTGATTTCGGTTCATAGATGAGCTACTGAATTGTTCAGCAAGGAGAGGTATATTGATGCTTGAATACACTAATTTTTTAAAAGTTCACATACTGTGTACAAAGTACTTGGAAAGAGTATGGCTACAGACGTGGAATTGACTTGATTTTAATGTGTGACTGCATTTATCAGGCCTAATATATGAGGATATTCTACCCACAGAAAAAAATTGATTATTTGAAAAGCTGTTTTTTCATTATTTTTTATAATGTAACAAAATATTTGCAGTCCTCCACGTAGAAAATGGTAATAAGCCATGACGTCTGCGATAGGATAGAAACTGCATGCGGTAGTGTTTTGGGGAGGGAGGAAGGTTTCTTTGTTGGTAGAAAGTTCGGAGTGAATTCACTGAATTATACAGCTAGCTGTAGGAATGTATTTTACTGGTAGTTTTAAGATTTCAGGTGAAAGTGTCCACTTGTGTGTGTGTGTATGTACAGGTGTATATAAGTGTGCGCACAAAAACGTACAACGGTCACTGCTAAACTGCTTTAATTGCTAGGAGGAAGTAATGGAGCATTTTATGTTTGAGAAATCCTACCACAGTTCGAACTTTTGTTTTGAGTGCTTTCCTGTTTGTAGGGAGCTGTGGCAGTGCTAAAGGTTGTTAGATGATGGGAAGAGAATTGCTTTAAAACTGAAGCACAGAGAGCTATTAATTCAAAGTTACAAGCAATGCGTGGAAGGTTGTGTTGTGTAAGTAGAAAGGCTTGGTCTAAGATAATGGGCAAAGACTGGGGGTGCTGAAGACCACAGCTGAATCTCTGCTCAGCCAGAGATGTTCTGCAGCCACTGTAACTTTGCACCCAAGTGAATCTGTGGGCACATAAGGATGTTTTACCTCTTTTTCTCTCTCTGATCTGAGCCTTTTAATGATCCTGAGGTATTTGGATGCAGTAACACTGGGTACTGTGCAAACATCAGAAGAGAGAAGAGGAAGTATTATCAGAAGAAATCACCATTTAAAAAGGTTGAGAAGAGTTAAGGGCATTATCAGAGCATGAAGATGATAGATTTTATTGTGTGTTTATTGGCCTAATGTTGCTCGTATGTGTGAAGTGGCACAGATGGATAACATTACAGTACATTACAGACTATTTTACTACTTTTTCTGATTTATAATGCTTCTATGTAGAGCCATCAGAAGGACCTGTGGTTGACACAGGTGTTCCAGGGAAAAATGAAGTTACAATAAAATGGAAGGAGATTTCAAAGGACAAAAGAAATGGATTTATCAGTAACTACACAATATTTTATAAACCTGAAGGTGGAAAAGAATTGAGTAAGTACACCTTAAAAATCAACACTTTCTACAGGGTTATGACAATCTGCTGTCTGAAGATAGTTATTTTATAGTTATTATCTCATTTTGTTATCGTATGTTATAAATATGGCTGAAAATACTGGTACTAAAATATGGCTCATGTAAAGATTAAAAAAATATCTAGGATATGTAGGATAAAAGAATGGATAATGAGATGCATTAAGAACTGGGTACACAATAGAGCCCAAAGAGTGGTGGTCAATGGTGCAGAGTCCAGCTGGAGACCTGTAACTAGTGGAGTCCCTCAGGGATCAGTGCTGGGTCCAGTCCTGTTCAACATCTTTATCAGTGACCTTGATGATGGGACAGAGCATCTTCTCAGCATGTTTGCTGATGACAGAAAGCTGGGAGGATTGGCTGATGCACCTGAAGGCTGGGCAGACATTCAGCAAGATCTGGACAGGCTGCAGAACTAGGCAAAGAGGAACCTAATGAGGTTCAACAACAGCAAATGCAGAGTCCTGCACCTGGGAAGGAACAACAAAATGCACCAGTACAGGCTAGGAGGTGATCTGCTAGAGAGCAGCTCTGTGGTGAAGGACCTTGGAGTCCTGGTAGACAACAAGAGATCCATGGGACAAAAATGTGCCCTTGTGGCCAAGAAAGCCAATGGTTTCTTGGGGTGCATTAAGAGGAGTGTGTGCAGCAGATCGAGGGAGGTTCTCCTCTGTTCAAGAGGGACAGGGATCTACTTGAGAGAGTCCAACGGAGGGCTACGAGGATGACTAAGGGGCTGGAACACCTGCCTTATGAGGAAAGGCTGAGAGACCTGCGGCTTGTCAGTCCTAAAGAGGAGAAGACTAAGGGGGGATCTAACTAATGTCTATAAATACATGAGGGCTGGGCATCAAGAAGGCAGGAACCAGCTCTTTTCACTTGTGCCCTGTGATAGGACAAGGGGCAATGGATTCAAACTTGAGCAGAGGAAGTTCCACCTCAACGTGAGGAAGAACTTCTGTAACCTTGTGAGGGTTACAGAGCACTGGAACAGGCTCCCCAGAGATGTTGTGGAATCTCCTTCTCTGGAGATTTCAAGACCTGTTTGGATGCCTTTCTGAGTGGTCTACCCTAGTTTTTGGTCCTACTCTGTTATGGAGTTGGACTCAATTGTGTGGTTCTATGAGTATTTCTGAACTGAACTGAATGATGACATGAAGGTGGCTTTGACTTTATGCAAAAGAAAATGTTAGTGACTTTAGTTTCATAATTTGTACATGCTTTTAATGCTGTTTGTAGATGTAGAATGTTATGATAAATGCCCTTGTTGGAAAAAAATTTAAAGTGAAGCACATCATACTAATTTCATTTATGGAGAAGGTATTTGAAAAGTTGAGTGACATTCAGAAAAACATTTTGAAACAGAAAAAAAATCCTATTGATTTTGGCTTTCATCTGACTTTGATTTGGTGGTATGCCAGTTCTGGTAGATCACATACTTTTGGATGATCAGTGTCTTAAAAGGCAAATTTCACAAGCAGCAGAAACTATTTTAAGTTCTTAATTCCTCACCCAGGTATTTTATGTTCTTAATATCTTAGCCTAGGTTCCAGAAATAAAGTTCTCAAAGTACTGTTTTCAATGATAAAATAAATGACAGGAGATAATAAATGGCCTGCATTTAGTATTAGAAAAAAAAAAAAAAAAAAAAAAAAAAAAAAAAAAAAAAAGTAAAAAGTATTTCTTTTGAAAGTAAATACATAATGGTGTACTTTTTTCCCCTGAACTTTTAAGGAGCATTTATAAACTTTGTTTGGAAATTTAATTTTTCTCTCTCAAAGAGCTAATAGAGTTGCTTCATATTTCAGTTTATCTTAAAATTGAGTAATCATTGTAAAAGATGCTAAACAAACATACAGTTCCCTGACAAATTTTTATGTTTATTAACATAAATCTTCTCCTAAAAAGATGAAACAGTGAACTCTGATGTTCTGCAATACCGACTGAAGTCCTTGCAGGCTAATACACAATATACTGTCTATATCATGGCAAGCAATGAAGCTGGTGGAACCAGTGGAGAGCCAAAAACCTTTAAGACTTTGAAATTCAGTAAGTAATCTGCCAGGTTTGTTATTAATATTTTAGAAACTGGTTTGGGGGTAAGAAACCATTTTTAGGGTTTTGTTTGTTTGTTTGTTTTGTTTTGTTTTGTTTAAATTAGTGTTAAACAGAACCATGAAGACTATCTGAATTTAACTCAGTTTCACTGATCATCTTGCAAACTGAAACTGTAAGCTTAGAAGTCAATCCCCATAATCTTTATTTTGCTTTCAAATATGCTGTGGAATACTGTGTATGTTTGTGGGAGCAATTGTTATTTGATGGGGTCCCTAACAGTTTATTAAAAAGTAGATGTTTCCATCTGAGATACCGGATTCAGAGTACCTTTGTGTTGAGTTGCATCTTTTTGGCTATATAAGCTTAACTAATGAGTGCAGAGGTTTTGGCCAGTTTGTGTGTGCAAATATCTTTTCCTACTTACAATTTGCTCTAGCCAGATTTCACCAGGGGCTTTGGTAGGATGGCTGCAGGTCAGAAGCTCAGACACTTCCTCATTTCTGCTTCTGGAAGAAGGTTTTCAATACATATATAAATTGTCATAGTGGTGGCCAAACTGAAATAGAAAAAAAGCACATGAGCTGTCCTCAGGTTTGTCATGGGACTTAAAGCTAATTAATTCTTAGCTGTAAAGTAATCTGCTAGTTTGCTACTCAAATGCAAGGTAAGTTAGCCTGTGCTGAGGTCTAGTCTCTGTTGCTGTCAGTACCTACCTTTGGTAGATACTCAAGAAGATAGCTCAGAAATCTGTGCACTGTTTCTGTCAGAGTGACTGTAATTTTGTATGTTTAAAATCTCCTGCATTTAATTTACTCTTTATTTTGTGGTAACAGCTACAAGTGGCACTACATGGCAGTTTTTGGTGACAGTTGAACAACAGGTGCCCAGAGAGGTGGTAGACTCTTCATCCTAGGTGACTTTCAAAGGTTGGCTTGGTATCACCTTAAGCAACCTGGTTCTAATGTGAACGTTGAAAAAAATAACCTACAGATGTCCCCTCCAATCTAAATTACTGCATGATCCTATTAAATAAAGGAATTTAAAACATTTTATACATCTATTCCTGAGATACCCTGAGAAGTCTTAATAATGAGCTGCTTTTCTGGCTCAGTAACTGTGACTTGTTGGGTTCAGGGTACTCATCTTTTGACACATTGTACAATGAGCACCATACACTATTGAGAGTAAATTTCCCTGGTTTTGACAGAGCTCTTTAGAATTGTGTTTATTAGGTGACTTAGATGTTGAAAATTAGCTGTCTTGAGGGAGTGCATGAAGAAATTGGAAAAACTTGTGGGTTTTGTTTTGTTTTCCCCTTTAGATCAAGAAGATGTTATTTTCATTGCTCTACCTCTTGGATTAGGCATGTTGTTTCTGCTAAGCCTTTGGATAATATGCATTTTGAAAAAAAACATGTGAGTACATTTTCTACCTTCTAAAACTGAATTCAGTCAGTTAATTTTAACTGGTGAAAGGCAATTTTTAAATATATCTTTCGTTGGGTTTCAAAACAATGTAAAATAAAGAAAATAAGCTAGTTGAGTTAGAAGTAAGTATGCATACAGGTTATTTTGTAACAAGTTAATATGCTGTAGCACAAAAATAAATTTTAAAACATGCTCTAAATCAGAACAAGAGAAATAGGAGAAAGAGTTTTGCATATCACCATCTCAGTTTATGGAAAACACTAAATGCCAGTTGCAGTTCTGTGGTTGGTCAAGTCAGGTGAGCATACTGTAAGTCAGTTCCTGAAAAGTTAATAATACCAAAAATAAAGTTTCCCTTAGTATGTTAGTACAACACTAGGACAGATTTCAGATAATACATGTTACTTACCTTAGCTGTATTAATACTGCTATTGTGATTTGTGACACTTCCCTTGAGCCGTAAGGAAGTCATGAAGAAACTAGTGTTTACATAATGTGAAAGCATTTCACATGATGCTGGAACAAGTCCAGAGGAGGGCCATGAAGATGATCAGAGGGCTGGAGCACTTCTCCTGTGGAGACTGGCTGAGGGAGTTGGGCTTGTTCAGCCTGGAGAAGGCTCTGGGGAGACCTTATAGATCCTTCCAGTACCTGAAGGGGCTGGAGGAAAGTTGGGGAGGGGCTTTTTACAAGGGTGTGTAGCTAGAGGACAAGGGGTAATGGTTTTAAACTGGAAGAAGGAAGATTTGGGTTAGATACCAGGAAGAAATTCTTTCATATGAGGGTATTGAGACACTGGAACAATTTGTCCAGAGAAGCTGTGGATGTCCCCTCCCTGGAAATTGTCAAGGAGAAATTGGATTGGATTTTGAGCAAAGTTGTCTTGGGCTTTCTTGAGATTTGTTAATTTTATTTTTAGTAATGTAATTCTTTCACAACTTGACTACAATTCCTTTCTCAATTCTAGGTTTAAAAAAGCTTGCTGGCCTGATATACCCAATCCCGCAGAGAGTGTTGCTGTGGAATGGCCTTTTGATGCACCTAAGGTAAAAGCTGAAGTTTTATGTATTAAGGAAAAGTTCAAATGGAGACAAGTCTGTCTCTGACAGTCATTTCATGACTAAATTAAAAAAAAATGTAGAGTTTTATTCTTCTGCTTAAGTGTTAGGAAATGCACTTCAGTTTATTTCAAACAAATGGAAAAGATGCATTTTAATAAAGTATAATAATTAAATTCTTATGCAATAATTACTGATAGTTACATGTTGATTGGTGGATGTGGTTTATTAAATGAGGTCAATGAAATTTGCTCAGGTTATCAAGTCTACTGTGTTAGATTCCTACATCTGGATGCCTGCCCCCTTCTCCACAAAACACGTAGTGCAGTGTATAATATGATTTGGTAAATGAGTATGTGAACAATTCTGTCTTTTTTATTGTTGACTAATTATTCCATATTAAAGTTTTGATGTGTATCTGAATGAAATGGAGATGATCAGGTTTACACAGAAAGTGGAGAATAGGATTTAAACTTTTGTCTGAAAAATGGCTGGCCAGAGTGGAAAAGATGGAAACAGCCCAAGCCGGATTCCAAGCCTTCAATTTTTTAAGCACAGAAAACCTAATATAAAAGTATTTAACAAATGGAAACAATAGCATTGTCATTTTTAGTACTCATTCTCATACAAATACATCCCAGCCAAAGTGCACAAGAACTGTTTATTAATGCAGTTATAAAATTGAGCCAGAGTCCGAATGACAATATTTTGTACGATAAAAATCCCCACAAAATGAATACATTATGTATCCATGTTTAACTTTCCAATTTATCTTTTTGTATTGACAGGATAATTCATTTTCGAAGAGACTGCCATCTGAGGCTAAAATCACAGATTTTGAAGACATAAGTGTCTTGGAACATTGTTCACCTGAGGAAAGTCAGGAAGAGTCCCTGCTAATGAATTGTGAAAACTATGTTTCTGAATGTAGTGGTATTAATACAAAAGGCATGACTAATGGAGATATAAAGATAGCATTTAGCGGAAAACAAGAAGTTGATAAATGTTTTTCACCATCCATGACTTATGTAATTACTGACCAAGATATCAGAAGTGACAAGCATTTGGCTTTGATACCAGTGAAGAAATTTCAACCCATAGGAATGTTGGAAGGTGATTTATGTGAATCTCAACAGACTTCAAATAAAACTGAAGACAATAATGAAGTTTTAAAGCTGGAAGATGTCGATGAAAAAGCATGGTTCAATCCATACCTAAAACATTCTGTTAAAACAAGGGAGTTTCTTTTTTCTGACAACTTGCCAGAACACAGAAAGAATGAACCCAAAAGCCAGTCAGCTGTCTTACCTTCCTTTCAACAAAATGTTGCAGGACAATCCTACATAACACTGGACATGTTTGGGCTGGCCACAGCTCATGAGTGTGAGAAACCTTTCCTTTGTCAAGTCCCCTTGTGAGATACATGGCCCTGCTGCTCATATGTATTTGTATGTTCTACTCTGGCTGATCTCAGTTAATTTGGATGAGAACGGCCCGTTTCTTTGAACAGCTGTGAAGTTGTTTTTTTTCACTGTGTTTGTACCCATCAGGGTTCATTTTCACTGTGGAGTGGGATGGGTTTGGTTTTTTAGCAGATAGATGTAGCAGCCGTGAGTCAAAGGAAGTAGTTTTTCTTAGTTCTTCTTAGTTCTCGCGTACCAATCTGCTAAAACAGGCTGATCTTCGCCAAGGGAACAGCCAGCTGTGCAAGCAGCTCACTGATTTCCGACCAGGCAATCAGTTTCCCTGGCTGAACTCTGCTGGGGATATATGGACCAACTTGTAGCAGAACTAGGATCTGCCGAATCCCTCCTTGAGCTACACGCAGTAGAATACTTTCCTGTTCTTACTTCCCTCAATTGTTTTATATCTAGTTTTATGTACAGTGTTCCTCCGGTTTTGCAAGTGCTTTGTAGATTTCGGTAATTGTCTTTTTGCACCCTGACTCCTGAGTCAGTGGCTTGGCTCACAGTTTCTTTGTCTTTAATGAGATGATATTTGTTATGTGTGTGCTGTTGACTTATCTGCATTTTGGAAAATACGGAGTTGCTTTGTTGCTTCCTTCCTTTTCTCTTGTGCTTTTAATAATTGTCTGCATTTTGTGCCACTTTTGTCTCCTGTTTGTTTGCTGCTTTTTAAAACTGTTTACAGCAAGGTATCTTCTTATTTTCTTCTTTCTTTGCCTCTAATTTCTCCCAATTTAAAACTCTGTTTCCCAGAATTCTAATTTTTTAAAATTTCGAACTGAAAAATTCAACTAAGTAGAGAATCTTGTTTTAGAATAAGCACAGTTTTTATTTAGGAAAAAAAAATAATTCTGGAAGGTATTGAAAAAGCACTAAATCTACAAAATATCCCAGAGATTCTCTAGTAACTGATTTAGGATTAGAGATTTCTGCATGAAGGCTGTAACTTCTGTCATTTGTTTTATGACTTTGATGTCATAAAAGTACTTGTAGTTTCCATTTTATACAGCAACAACTAAGCATTAAACTCTCCATCACTATTTATTTTTTTAACAGAGGCAATTACTGTAAATTTCTTATCAGAATATTTACTTTGGTAAGTTAAGAAAAAGAGAGGGAGAGACAACTCTTAAGTAAAATGTGTTAAAAGGGCATGCTCAGTATTAAATGTGGCATATAGTAATTGTAAGACTTTAAACTATTTTCCCAGTATGTAAAGGCTTGATATCATTAGTCTTGTTTGCACATAACTACAAACTTACTTAGGGGTGAAAAAGATACAGGAGTCGTGGGGATAGAAAAAGGAGAGACAAATGTGAATAGGAACAGAAAGCCTTTCTTTTCAGCACAGGAAGAGGCGTGGGAGAATGGAGAATATATTGTCCAGCATAATGAGGGGACTGAGCCGTACCCTGGGTGTGTTGGCTATTACTTGCGCTGTGTTGGTGAAGACAGTGCAAGTGAATAGGCTTTTCATCTATAGTTTGGAAGCTGCTTTTCCTTCTGGCAATGTTTGCTCCTTTTCCAGGAAAGGATGAGGTATCAATTCCTGCAAATAGTCCTTGTACAGGAGCACTGATTTCCACACACCACTCCTTTCCTCCCCAACTTTGTTGCATCACTTTCCCAACCAGTGCTGTAAGCCAAAACACATTTGTTCTTAGAAGCTCTTGCTTTCTTAGATAAGTCATACTCTGAAATGAGCATGGGGAGCAGCTTTATTTGGATCAATTCTGCTGTGGTCACTTCTGGGCTTCTGACTCACAGCTACATTGCTGTTTCCTAGGATTCAGAAGTCCCCGCCTCAGCCACTGCCGGCTTTTTCTCCCTAAATCTAAGTATTTCTTTTAATATCAGAAGATGAAAAACAAATAGATATGGATATATTTTGGGACCCACCTAGAAATTGTTTAGCAGCCATACAGAAGCTGCATACTCTGAGTTGCATGATTGAATCAGGTAAAAAATTAAAAGAACGCAATCTTTAAGGGGTCATTAGAAAGGGGCTGGTTTTGGTGGTTTGGATAGGGTCTCCCTCCAACATTCCTTGGCTTCTGGAGGGTAACTAATAACCTGCTTTTCCATCTCATTTTAGTTCTTTCCCT